CGTGTGTGGCTCACAGTATTGGAAGTAGTTAGAGTGTTCGTGTGTGGCTCACAGTATATGAAGTAGTTAGAGTGTTGTGTGTGGCTCACAGTATATGAAGTAGTTAGAGTGTTGTTGTTTTTTACATTTAATTTACTTATTAGAATCTACTTAATATACATAGTTTCTGAACATAAGTTAATTGTTTTCTTTTATATATCTTATAAAACGTTATGTACGCTTACCTTATTACTAAATTTTTTAAATATTAGGCTCCATGTTTATTTTTTGTATATCCATATAAAACCCTAATAAATGTGAAGCCTAATCTATCATTGATTCACCTCTTCGTGTACATGTAATAATAAAATTCCACCAATGTTAGAAGCCTACTCCTGTTTCTTTGACTTGCTCTGGCCAGGGTTAATGATCTAGGAGTGGATCCCTTCGAAACTGGTAAAACTCGATGAAAAGTGGTTTCGTTTGTTTATTATTAAGAGCAAAGCTACACACTGAGTTATCTGTGCTGTACTAATCGCGGTTATCGAATCTCCATTATTTGTGTTATCGCTCAGCCACTAGAGGCCCGTGACAGTTAGTGAATTGAATGACAGATTGGGTTTCACATTTATATTTTAAGTATCTTAAAATGGTTGCCCGAAAATAATCCAGAACAATAAATTAGTACCATCAATGCTACACATTTGTATAAATATAAATTCACAGTGTTGAGTAAAAAATAACTAAAAACACCGTACATTTATAAAAAAAACAAAAAAAAACAACTGTATGTCTTCTTCCTCAGGTCGTAATAAATTTAGAAAAATAACTTAATTTAAAAATTCTCAATGGGACATTTTTTTTCTTTTCGTTACAGGGATAAATACAAAGATGAAATTCGAATTCATTTCGGAAATCATCACCGGTGGCTGACAGACCCACAAGAAATTCTCCGGTATCCTACAGATTGGTACTTCTATCGCTGGGTGAGTCCCTGATGTCTATTGTTTTGTTTGTATTTATATATAGAATAAAAATAGCCAAGACTGACTTTAAGGATCAAAGAAAGCTTATTTTATCGATTCCTGATCTCAACCAATAAACAGTTCATGAATTAAACTCGGTAAGTAACATGTTGTTTTTAGGGTAGTTTTGGTAGTGTAGACATAGTAGGGCTTTAGTTTTCACAGATCCTTCTTGCCTCTGTCTAAGGGCTGCTTCATTATTGAAGCTGAAATTTTGACCCCCCCCCCTCTCTGGCAGGAGCAGTCCATTAAAACCAAACTGTACTTAATCAGTAATATTTCACTACTAATTGGGAAATGATCATATCGAGGGTTTCAAAATAAAGGAAAGTTCTAGGGGATTTTAGGGGTTCTCGTGATTAGATGCATCGACTTAAAACTTAAATGAAGGGCCCGGCATGGCCAGGTGGTTAGGGCGTTCGACTCGCAGTCTGCGGTCGCGGGTTCGTATCCCCGTCACACCAAACATGCTCGCCTTTTCAGCCGTGGAGGCGTTATAATGTTACGGTCAATCCCACTATTCGTTAGTAATAGAGTATCCCAAAAGTTGGCGGTGAGTGGTGATGACTAGCTGCCTTCCCTCTAGTCTTACACCGCTAAATTAGGGACGGCTAGCGCAGATAGCCCTCGTGTAGCTTTGCGCGAAATTCAAAAACAAACAAACTTAAATGAAGAATAACAGGGGTTTGCAAGCGAGTTATTTTCTACGTTTATATTTTCGAAGTCCTCCGATGGGACAGCAGTATGACTATGTACTTACAATGCTAAAATCCGGGGTTCGATTTCCCGCGGTGGACACAGCACATAGTCCAATGCGGTATTGCTCTAAAACAAACGTACTTGCATAAATATTTACGAAATGTTAATATTGAAGCCAATTAGTGGTTGATCTTTACAATTGCGGGGATCTCGTGATGAGCTGCTCATATGACTTTAAAAGCAACAAATGTAAATTGTTGTTTAAAACAAGTTTTTTTTTTGTATAGATGTTATTTCCCGTAAATATTTATTAGTAGAACCTATAATACTTCCTCTTTTGACTTTAGATAATTCAAATATAAGGAAGTTTAAATTCTAAAGACCTTTAAGTTTTGTGATAAAGATTTTGTATTTTTATGAACAAAGTGAAAATAATTTTCTTATATCAAATTTTCCTCATAATTGAAAATAAAGTGATATTTAACGATAAGAGTAAAATATTATGCATATATATATATATATATATATATGTTTGCAAGTTACAAAATCAAATCACATCTCAAAAATAACATAACGATAATACTGATTTTTTTTTTCAAATTAAAAACCAAACAATATTTCAATAATAAAATAATATTGTTTTCTGTTTTCATAAATTTAAAAATAAAGTTATGTTTTATTAATACGAGTAATACTGAAAATAAAGTTATGTTTTATTAATACGAGTAATACTGAAAATAAAGTTATGTTTTATTAATACGAGTAATACTGAAAATAAAGTTATGTTTTATTAATACGAGTGATACTGAAAATAAAGTTATGTTTTATTAATACGAGTAATACTGAAAATAAAGTTATGTTTTATTAATACGAGTAATACTGAAAATAAAGTTATGTTTTATTAATACGAGTAATACTGAACTTATTTTGAAGGAAGATATAGCACTCGTCAAACTCAATGCTCCTTTGAGTTTTAATGACGTCATCCAACCTGTGTGCTTACCAGAATGGGAAGAAGATCTGGAAGACGGAACTATGGGTCACGTGACAGGATGGGGTAATACGATTGGTACGAGTGTTTGTGTTTTAATTAGAAGTAAAGTCATTCTATGGTTAATATCCAGATATTTTCTCAACCATGTATTATGCTATTATTTTCATTTCCCATTAAACTTTATTTTAATGTTTGAATTATTTTATAAAGCTGTTATGTCTATTTCAATCGATTTGCGACGAGCAGTTATGTAACATTTTCTCTTCTTTCTCATTCGGAGGGGGGGAGGGAGTTCTGGTCTAGTAATTCATTCTACAGCACGTACGAGGCTTAAAGGTTTTTTTTTTGTTTTGTTTTGTATGCAGCTATGGGTTAAAATGATTTTAAGGTTCAGTCAAGAAGAACGTAAGAAAATTACACGGTGGAAAAATTCCTGGTGAATATTTCTTTTACAGCTGTATTTCGCATTGTAGACGATCGATCGACCGAATCTTTTTAGTTTGCTCGAGAGACTTTCACTTTCCGAGAGCTACTTGTAAATCGAATAAATTATGTATTGGGTAAGAGCCGCAGAGCTTCCGAACACCTGCGAATTTCCACTTGAACTAACGCTGATCTCTCATACATTAACGTCATCCGCGTGGCTTTCCCTCGCTCTACATCCCTTTATTAACAAAGTTCAAATATTCTTCGTTTTCAGTTGATGGAAATTCTATACATGAACTCCCATCAACAATGAAAAAATAAGAACAACAAAAAAAACGGCCTTTCAGTTATTTGTTGAGACGAGATATATTGTATTTTATAATTGTTAATTTGGTTGGATATGATTGTTGAGACGAGATATATTGTATTTTATAATTGTTAATTTGGTTAGATATGATTGTTGAGACGAGATATATTGTATTTTATAATTGTTAATTTGATTGGATATGATTATTCAGAATGGAAATTAAAAGAAGGTTTATATTTTTGCACGCTTAATTTATTTCTACAACTAATACTAATATTACCATCTGCCCTCCCGGTTGCTCAATGGTAATTGAGCACGGCACAGGTAGCACATTGTGCAGCTTTGTGCTTAACGAAAACATAAATTGTTGTCGTTTTTGTTGAAGTTGTTTGATAATTTTTTTTCAGACCTTCTGACTTTTACAAATGAAAACAGGGTTATCATATACTGTCAAGACCAGGTGGTTAGGGGGGCTCGACTCGAATCCCCGTCCCACCAAACATGCTCACCCTTTCAGCCGTGGGGGCATTATAATGTGACGGTCAATCCCACTATTCGTTGGTAAAAAGAGTAGCCCAAGAGCTGGTGGTGGATGGTGATGACTAGCTGCCTTGCCTTTAGTCTTTCACTGCTAAATTAGGGACAGTTAGCGCGGAAAGCCTTCGTGTAGCTTTGTGCGAAATTCGAAACAAAAAACATATCCTGTGTATAATCGTTATTATTATTTTCTATATATATATTTCTGTAGTTTTGTTGTACATAATTAGTTTCTGCGTTAATCGCAAACGATTTGATTGTTAAATAAACTAAGTACACATTTTCTCTCTATTTTGTGTTATTTTTCAGGTACCGGACACAGTACTGTTTTGAAGCAAGCAATGGTACCAATATTTAATTATGAAGCTTGTTCCAACTATGACTCGCCGTTTCCGATAAACCCCACTAATATTTGCAGTGGAACTGATGACGGTGGAATCAATCCGTGTTTCGTAAGTGTTCCACGTGTATGAAGTTGTTAAATTAGGAGACTTAAACCGCTTACATTACATTACATTACAGCTACATTACAGGTCGGTCCACTTTGAAAAATCACGCTTGCTTCGTTAACCCACTGTAAAACAAAATTGGCTTCTTATGTGAGTTTCCTTGAACTAACATGTTATTCATAGTTGCTTCCTATGTGAGTTTCCCTGAACTAACATGTTATTCATAGTTGCTTCCTATGTGAGTTTCCCTGAACTAACATGTTATTCATAGTTGCTTCCTATGTGAGTTTCCCTGAACTAACGTGTTATTCATAGTTGCTTCCTATGTGAGTTTCCCTGAACTAACGTGTTATTCATAGTTGCTTCCTATGTGAGTTTCCCTGAACTAACATGTTATTCATAGTTGCTTCCTATGTGAGTTTCCCTGAACTAACATGTTATTCATATCTACACTTAAACTAACAGGAAGATCTATGCTTATTGTTGTTGTTGTTGTTGTTTTCTGTCGTAACAAACGTAAAATGCCCCCTCCTCCCAGTGGTACAGTGATATGTCTGAAGGCTTACAACGCTAGAAACCGGTTTTGATACCCGTGGTAGACAGAGCACAGATAGCCCGTTGTGACGCTTTGTTCTTAATTACAAGCAAACGTGAAAACAATTCAGGAAAAAAGCATAATAAAGATTTACAGGTTTTCGTCAAATAGTATAGAATGAAAATAACCAAGGGCGGCGATAAGGACGGTAAGCTGAAGCTACCCCAAAATATGCATTAGCTTTTCCTGTAACCCCCGCACCTAAAACAAGCAGGCCTAAAAAAGTACAGTATGAATGCCCACAAGATGCACACCCCCTCAACTTTCTGTCGAGTCAATTTTAGCCCTCCCCATCGAAAAGAGGTTAGCGCCACCCCCTGAAAATAACGCTTTTTTAAATACCAACCAAATGCGATTTGACCAACTCACAACGCTTGCCAGGATTGCTGTGATATTTGCATATAAAACCAGTTATAACACGTTATGACCAAAACACTTTTGAGGGGGGGCAACAAGAAATTACCAAAGAAATAAGCAAATGAGATTGTTAAGGGTTTAAGCTCGCAGGTGTTTAAACTGCAGTTAAATAACTAGATATTAGATTCAATTCCTACTTTTACTTTAAAAATCAAAAACAAGAATCGCTAAAATATATAAAACTTTTGTATTATGGAGGATACGTGATACTGGTACTTTAAATAAAAATATACTTATATATATATATATATCATTAAGCGGGATTTAGTAAGCTCGATTGTTCCCACACCCAAGTTTAATTTTGTTTCTGTTTCTCAAATTTTATTCTAGGGAGACAGTGGAAGCCCTCTAGTGGTACAAAAAGACAATAAGTGGACTGTTTACGGCCTGGTATCGTGGGGCCCTCTAGTGTGTGGTATCAAACAAGAGCCAACGGTCTACATGAAAGTTTCAGAATTTCGTCGATGGATGGATGAAACCTTATCTTCAAATTGAAAAACCAAAAAAGTCATAAAGCGACTCGAAACTACTTAACATTTTCTATGACCATTCAAAAGTTTTTTTTTTTTACGATTTTTTGGAAATACTTAAAATTTTATGACTTTTTGAATAACCCAAAATCATTTAGAGTGTATGGAATTATTCAAAACGTTTTTAAACTTTCTGGAATTACTAAAATCTCTTTAAAAACTTTATATAACTACTCAAGCTCTTTGTAACTTTCTGGAACTCCTCCAAGGTCGTTGTAGCTTTCTGGAATCTCCATAAACTGTTTGTAGCTTTCTGGAACTTCCCCAAACTCTTTGTAACGTTCTAGAACTTTCTCAAACACATTTTTTCACTTTCTGGAATTTCTCTAAACTCTTTGTAATTTTCTAGAACTTTCTCAAACACTTTGTAACTTTCTGAAACTTTCCTAAACTCTTTGTAACTTTCTGGAACTTTCTCAAACACATTTTTTAACTTTCTGGAACTTTCTCAAACACATTTTTTTAACTTTCTGGAACTTTCTCAAACACATTTTTTAACTTTCTGGAATTTCTCTAAACTCTTTGTAACTGTCTGGAACTTCCCTAAACTCTTTGTAACTTTCTGAAACTTCCCTAAATTCTTTGTAACTTTCTGGAACTTCCCTAAATTCTTTGTAACTTTCTCAATCTCTGTAAAATTAGAGTTAACGTTAGTTTAACAGTAAATAACGCTTTCCAACGTGATACAACCAAAATTTCGATGAAAAAATAAAGAGTTTCAGCGGTTATCTGGAAAGTAATTATGATCTTCTTCTGATCAAAGCAAGCTCAGGACTAAAAATTGACTCAGTAACAAATTATACAGCTAAACTAATAAACCGTTTCTTCAGTTCGGTACCTTCTCTGTTAGCAAGATTTTCGGCTTGTGTCTCTGTCCCTTCTTGTCCGAATAAAGTCCAAGGTTAAAGTCTCGATATTTTTTTTTTTTACAAATACTTAATATTAGTTTAAAATCCTCATCTAAACGCAATTCTATAATCATCTGGAAACATAAATAAGAAAAGAAATCTTAGATTTATTGTGACTATACCAAGGAAATAAAAATATTTGGTAGGTTGCAAAATACCTTCTGTTTCACAAGGATCGTGGACATTTATTAATTCCATTACGAGATTAGATGACAGTTATCAGCTATTCAGAAGCAAAACTACAGTAGGAACAATATTTCTGTATAAGGTCATTAAAAAGAAATAACTCTTTACATATCTCTATTCCACAATTCTGAACTTAACAAACAAATGTATCAAGTATTCTTCGCATAGTTGAGGAACTGTAAACATGAAAGTGTGAAGAAAAAATACAACTGTAATGTCACAAATCAAAACTGTTTGCCTTCCAGTGGCTGATTACGATACCCGTGGTGGGCACGGAACAGATAGCCCATTGTGTAGATTTGCGCTTAACAACAAAACAAACAAGCGAAACTGTAAAAATGGGAAGGAAAGTAAATAGAAATAAAGTGACACAAAAAAAATAACGTTTAGCGACACACTGTGATGTATAAAATAATAAAATATCGTTTAGCGACAAACTATGATATACAAAACAATAAAATATCGTTTAGCGACAAACTATGATATACAAAACAATAAAATATCGTTTAGCGACAAACTATGATATACAAAACAATAAAATATCGTTTAGCGACAAACTATGATATACAAAACAATAAAATATCGTTTAGTGACAAACTATGATATACAAAACAATAAAATATCGTTTAGCGACAAACTATGATATACAGAAAGTTAAAATAACGTTTAGCGACACACTATGATATACAAAACAACAAAATATCGTTTATCCACAAACTATGATATACA